TTTTTTTTTTTTTTTTTTTTTGTCTGACCGGGGACTCACTTTTCAACTTGGAAATTATACCACTTTTTTTTTTCTTCTCCGACTCAAAATAGTGTAATTTAAATTTTGTTACGTGGGTACCTGACCAGGTTTCTGTGGGGCTATTATTATTTAGTGTATAAAAATTTTGTAAGATTGCAGACTATTTTTTTTTTAAATAAATGATTAATTTAAATGTTTTTTTTATGTTTGAAGAAAGAAAAAAATCACTTATAGCTGAAACTTTTTTTTTTCTCAATATTTGGGGGGACAAAAGATTTGAACAGATAAACGATTGCTTGTTGTGATAGACGGTGAAAAGAATGTTGGCTTTGGAAACCTGGTAACAGTTATCGCCTACAGCCTTTAACAGTCATTCATTTTAAAGGATGAATGCATATATAATTCATTCTGTTTTCCTTTACACTGAAAACAGTTTGTGTATATTTCTTTTTTTTTTTCTTTTTTGAATAGATTAATTAATTGAATCATATGAGATATGGACAGTGTTACGCAGTGTTACGTAATAAATATTGGAAAAAACAACATTTCGCTACAGTAGTTGTTGTCATCGTGGTCGTCGTCGTCGTCGTCGTCGTCGTCGTCGTCGTCGTCGTTGTTGTTGATGTGATTAAATGGAGGTTGACGTGAACAAATGTTTGAACAGTTAAAAACCAGGTACAACAAAACTTGAAAAAATATGGTGCTGCTTGTTGATGAAATTACTGGGTAAAAAATAGCTGAACAAACTTGCGATATTTTTTTTTTGTTTTTTGCTTTTGATTCTTATTGTTCAATCACTCTTTATTAAAATAAGTACTGGAAAAAGGAGAAGAAGAAGAAGAAGAAGAAGAAAGGAGAAGAAAAATAAAACTTTATTGATATTTACAGGAAAATAAAAAAAAACAAATATGCACAGCTAAAATTGCTTATTAACCGGATTTCTGTAATACTGTTAAAGCATTACACTATAATGCTATGCATTGTTTATAGTGCTATTATATAAATGTTGGAACAATTCCTTTAGAAAATAAACAGTTAACCGCAAATCTCCGAGATATAAAAATTTTTTTGCTTGTTTTAGTTAGAACATAAAATTGTTGATCTGTTGCTCAGTGGTAAAAGAATGTTTTTTTTTTTTT